TTAACAAAGTGGGTGACAGGAAGGCAGCAGAAAAAATTAGTGTTCATTTAATGAAGAGATGTTGGGACAAAAACAAATGATAATTCCATCAGGCAGGATTTGAAGGATATTGGAGAGAGAAAAGTGTAGCTCAAGAGATCATCTAATTTATCTCACTGGTGATAAAATGAGCCCAAAGACTATTTCTAAATGGCAGATAATTCTGATCTAAGGAATGTCTCTTACATATAATTTAAAAGGGGAAGGAATTTGTACTGTTATTATTAATAATAGAATATTCTACTTAAAAATTCAGGAACTTACTGTTCCTCAAGTCAAGTTTTTCTCAGATTGAGGAAAGTTATCTGTGAAATGTGATGCCATTGGAATGTTTCATATGGGACAGATATTGTTTTCTTTTTCCCAAGAGACCAAAGTAAGAGGCAAGAAGTATAAGTTTTATCAGGAATGTGTGAGTTTGTGATAAAAACACTTGAGGCAGCTCTGTTTTTTATTATCAACAACTGAGCATTTCTGCCAGAGAAGCCTGTAACCACCCTCTCATACACCTTCCTACTTTCCTCTCTTATGAGCTGTACAGAGCTGTATCAAGCCAAAATTCACCTCAAAACCTAAAGTGGCAAAGATTACCTACATGGCTGTATAGATTAATTGTGGAACAACACTGTAGCAAAATAAGGAAAAAAATTAAAACAAACAAAAATCTCTCTGCTCATGATGTGTTTGCTGGTGTTGCTCTGTTCTCTACATTTCTCTTCCATTTTTTTTTAGGTGGAGTTTCAGTTTTCAAATGATAAGTCTCATAAAATTCTACTTACATCCTACTATGCCTTTCCAACATTTGTCAAGGAGACTTTTATAAATTTTTTTGAGTGAGAATTATCCTGTTCCTAATTTTATCCTGCTTGAATATACTTCTTTGTCCTCCTTTAAACATTTTAATTTATCCTTTCTCTTTTTACATTTTCAATCATTATAGTTTTTAACTTTTGCATGAGTAGGGTGGTTATTCTTAGCTCTTAGTCACTTTCAGCATTATTTTCCCCTAACATTAGTTTCACCTTTCTAGATATAAATTCACCAGGATCTTTGTAGATCTGATGACATCCCGGCAGGAAGAATGGGATCATCCTGACCCTCATGGAGTCTCTGGGCTGCTCAGATGTTTTTTGACAGAACTTGAATGAATGTCTTTCATATTTGGCGGTACATTACCACCTCACAGTAGATTCTGTCGACACCAGTCCATTTTCTGTGTTCCTGGTGGGTTTGGTCCAAGAAGAAGGTGCAGAGGTCGAGCATTTGACACATGTCCAGTTGCCCCAAAGGCAGGAAGCCAGAGTCACAGGGCAGTAGGAATGTTTGGGTTTTTTTCATGTGGAGCAGAGCAGTCTAACCAGTGGCCTAGGAATGGTTCAAGCTCATGAAGTGCTCCTGGCCAGCCCACCACGTGCTTCCCAAGGAAGTGCTGTCCAAACAGCTCGTAGCCCTGTCTGTGCTGTAGCAGTCAGGGTAGATCAGGCACAGGTACAGCTGAGATGGGGGTGGCTGGAGATGAGTGAGAGCTGTGAGGGGTCCAGCCCTCTCTGTTGGACCATGCACAGAAGGAGGAGTGATATTCAGAAATAGTAGATGGCAGGATAAGGACCATCCTGCCTAAGCAAGGGAATCTGAAATCATATCAAATACCTTAGAAAGCTTAGAACCTGAAGAGAAGTGGGTCACATCATTTGGTTGGATTTTATGACTAATGTGTATCCAGAGGGCAGAGCTAGGTATGAATGACATTTACAAAATGTTCTTTTACTTTCTTTTTGACTTCTGAGAAATGTCTGTTGGAGAGTTGGATTTAGTTGTACACCAGGAGAGAATATTGAAAGACTTCAATAAAATATCTCAAACAAAGAAGGCTGTCTGAAAATTCAATGGAATACACTGCCCATTCTGAAAGATATAAGAACCAGTCAAATTCACTCTTGATGGGAAGCTATCCACAAAAAACCAATATAGACTTGGATGAAACACATGGGGACTAGGATTCCCTTCATAATAACTCTTCAAAACTCCATTGCCTGAAGTGTTCACAAGTAAAGGGAAAAGGTGCAAAAGAGCTCCCTGAAACACATTAGGTGAAAGAGATAAAAGGCAAGTCAAACTGAAGAAGATAAAAACCTATAGAGTTCAAACCAAATCAGTAAAAGCAGGTACTGGAGTAACTGTATGAGACTTTCAGACTAGATAATATCACTGAAAACACAGAGCTCAGCTGTGGGACTGAGATGCAGGGAACATCTCAAGATTCAAAACCCCATTTAATTTGTAGAGAGAAAGAATGAGCGTACAAAATGATCCATAGTAAAAAATTAATGGAGTGGCTCTGTCTCCAGTGGCAAATTCATCCCTGTGTTACAAAGGAACAGAAAACCAGTAGCTAGAGGCATGGGTAACAAAATGGACATATTTATTAATAATGCTAAGGTGTTTTGCCATCACAGAAACCATACAGTGGCTCTGACACAAGTGGGTATGAGCTAATGCTTGTAACATCCCTGTGATGAAAGGGGTGCTCTCATTTGTCACATACAGCATATGAAGAAACCCACCTGTGACCACATTTCTGTAGCTATAATTAGATCTCATGACCTTCAGCCTCCATGTCCTCTGTTCTAGGCCACAGTTCAGTATTAAATGAATCTGTGTATGAAATACTGAATTTACATAATAAATAAAACCAGAGTTGTTCCAGCTGCCTCCCAGGGGCACAGAGAATCTAAAGAAAGTCTGGCAACAAACACATCAAAAGGATGAGAAACTAAATCTCTTCAGCACTTAGGGAGTGAGCAAGAACAGATACTTGTAGTTAGTAAGCAAGTGTAGCTTGGTGACATTTTTTTCCAGGATGGACCTAGAACACAAAAGCACCAAAATATTTGTTCTGCAGAGTTGAACTGGACTGTAAGCAAAACAGAAAACCTGTATTTATGATAAAAAGTAGAAGTCTGAGAGGTGCACAGATGGTTGGTCTAGTTTTCTCATTTGACAAGCTGAGTGTGACTTTACATTGAAAGAGAGAAATACAAATGTAGAGAAACTGCTGCTCAGAGAAAGATATGGAGGGAGTGACTGGGAATACAGAGATCATGAGTGGGAAGATGAGTGTTCTGAGAATTTAAAACACCTAAAAATTCTATGTTTCCATTATTTATGTTTCATTTATCTACATGCTTATATAGACACATATCCACCTATATATATATATGTGTGTGTGTGTCTATATTTCACATGAGAAACATCAAAGGCTAGGAATTAATTTTTTTAAATTTTTCTCAATATTCTTTTGCTAATGATGACATTAATGAAGAATACTTGTAGCCAAGAGGAAATGTTGACCTCCCCTAAATGGACATGATTTGATTAGGAGCATAATAGTCCAGGCCCCACTCTAATGCTTAATTGTTAGACAGTTTTTCTTGCCAAGACCTTTGCTCATTAGTGCACAAATGATTCTTCCAACTCATGGTTTGATGCTTTCTTTATGTGAATCATTGGATGGCCCACAATCCATATAAATGGATACATTTATGCGTGCTCTATGTAAGAATTACAGAGCAGAGGACTTAGAAAAGTTTTCCTCTGAAAGTTTTCAGCATAAAAATTTGCCTTCAGGTTAGCAAGCAACTGGCTATGAGGCAAAACAGAAAAGTCAACTTCTAAAAGCATCAAGTAAGGATCATCTCTTTAGCATCTACCTATTGTCAGCAGAGTACCACAGGTGGCAGGTAAAAAACACATCTGCATATCTATGTCTTGCAGTGAATCCTCTCCCATGCAGTTTTTCACAATGAATAGCCCAGGCAAAGCAAAAGAGACGGGTAACTGTGTAGATAATAAACCATGTGTTTCCTATATTACCTACAGAAATACACACGTAATTTCTACACACAGGAAGCTGGCCTTAAAAAGTGACTTGGAGAAGGTTAATAAGGCATGGACATTCTCTGCCTCTCACAACGAAGAAAGTACAGCATCAAATAAAATTACCAGGTGGCAGACTAGAAACAAAACTAAAAAAGGTAGTGCACTTTTTGTACTTAGTCTGTAGAACTCATTGCCACCAGGATATTGTGGACACCAAGTATACCGTTGAGTTTAGAGAATACTAAGACGAATAAATGTTAAAAAAATATCGGCAGGGTATGTTATGCCAAAAATACTGTTGTAGTTCAAGGTAGTCCTTGAGCTTCAGACTTTTGAATGCTGACAGATTATACCAGGAAAGTATTCTACATGCTTGTTCTGATATGCTTGTTCTGATTTTATAGTCCTTCCTTCAAATCCACTGTTGGCCACAATTAGACAAGTTTATGTGCTGGGTGGACCCATGGTTGGCTTGATGCTGTCAGAGAAATCTTGCTTTTGATGCTTAATCTCATATTTACTACTTGCAGTAGTTATATAGAACATCATCTGCATTTTCCCAATATCCTATGGAAAGGGTAAAAATCCCAGTTTAGTAAATATCAAGGTTTCTTTTTAATGTAATTATGTTAATGTTTGATTTACACAAATAATGATGCTTTATAATTTCTGAGATGTTATCTGAAAATCTGTATAAAATGTAAAGAGGTGTTTGAAAGAAGTTTAGTATAAGGCTTTTAAGGATCTAGATTCTTTTCTTGACCACACATGGTAGTTCATTCAAAACCCTTTTTAAGATGAAAAGTATTTCAAGTATTAATATTCTGAGCAAATGAGCCCTAATAATTCAAACATTTATGCACATGATCATGTGACACTTCAGAGTAATCCTATTGAACCTAATGGACCTAGATAGGTTTTGAAGAGTGGGATGTAAGTGTGTGTAGAGCTGACGTCTAAACACCTTTCTAAAGATCAGCATATACTGGTCTTTTAATTTTGACTCCTGTGTCCATTGTAATTGGTTTTTCTATGTTCTAAGTAAAGAATCATCCTAACACAGTCCTGTTTTTTTAATAAAGTGGATTTTTTTGAAATATCTGAACTGTCAGTGGTGATGTGTAGGACTCCAGGTGCTCCCGCTCATGGTATTGTGGAAGGAGATGACTTTAAATACGGGGCCCGGGTTTACTTCAAGTGCAACGCAGGTTACAGCTTAAAAGGCAGCCGTGTTGCCTACTGTCAGCTTGATGGGATTTGGTCAACACATCATCCTGAATGTGGTAAGGTCACTTTAAATTTTAATTCTTATCAAATATTTTGGCCAATGTATTCCCATGAAACTAGACTATCAATTTCTCGCTTGAAAGTTGGTAGGTCTGTGACATGTCCTTTTGTCTTCCTGTCTTTAAGAAGCAGTAGGAATTATTATTTTACTCTGCTGGAACCCCAGCCTGCAAGATGTTTTTATATAAAGGTCTGACTGAAACATCACTTTACTGAAAACTAATAACCTCAAGGTCTTTAGGCATGTATGCTTCTTACACATAGAGAGAAAATGTCTAGGACCAAAGCCAAGTGAGGGTCATAGTGCAACAATGAATAGTTACTTCCATTACTCTGTGTGTCTGGCACCTTCTCTGCAGAAGCCTGGTGCACTCTGTGGAGGTGAATAGGGGCTTACTGTGTGAACACTAGACTCATTTCAATTCCCATCCTAGACAAAAATTGATAAAAAAGAAACTTCCATTCATTCTGACTGTGCAGGATGGCTTGCCTACCATTCACATTGGTTCACCTGTAAAATTCCTTCTTGACATCCAAAGAGACTTTAAATTTCCTTTAGCTGATTTGCACTGCACAATTTCATTTCCGTATTGCAGAATAGTTTGTTTCAATTGATAAAGTGTTTTATAAGTGTATTATGTAAAACAATGTGCATTTTGGGGAGAGTGTTGTAGAACAGCTTTATATGAGTTAATATGAAAGAGCAAGCAATAGGTATTCTTCTGTCTAGAGAGAAGTCTCCACTTGCAGTAAATGTAATGTCACGATCATGCCAAGTCCCTGCTGCACGATGGCCCTGACTAAAGATCTATAGAAAGAGCTGTCTCTAGACTTGGCAGTCACTGAAGTGTTAGGTCTCTCCTTCCCAGATGTTTTCTCTTTGTTTTTAATAAATCAAAAAGGTCATAACCCTGAGCCTAAGGAAGAAGACCATTACTGTCAAAGCACTGAAATAAGAGAAGGCTTTAAGTGACTTACGTGGTGAAGCTTTTGGTACATTTGGAAACATGCACTGTGGTGATCAGATGATGCCTCCAGGCCAGCCATCAGTGCAGAAAGCAACTTGCAAATAAAGCATTATTCTGTGGGGGATTCTCTGTAGTCTTTAGCTGCTATCAAGTTATCAGTCACTTATGGTTCACAACTGAGAGAGCCTGTGAGGTACACAGAAGGAAAATGGAGCCAAATGAAAAGGGCTCTGCTTTTCCCTTTCTTCCAATGGAGACGAAGTTCAGAAATCCTTGTTTACTGAATATAACTCGTGGAAAAGTATTTAAATACATACATAGCCTTCAGCATTTGCTAAAATCCAATGCTTGTAAAGAAAACACTGAAATATAGACTTGGCTTGAATGCTATACTCACTTTTAAAAGCACATGCTCTTCATTGAAGTGGCATTGTTATGGCTGGCTGTGTGTTCACATGCTTTGCTGAGCTGGGCTTTGTCTGGTGGCACAAAGTATGACTTTGTGACAGGAGAGGGCCATACCTTTGCACTGTAACTGTGCTGATTTCACAGTAATTTAAATAAATGTCAGAGTGCTTTGTGTTTATATGTTGGTGCTTTTGTGAACTGAGGCTCAGCAGGCAACCAAGTCTGAAGCACTGATATGAAGAGGTAATTTTGGGTCAACTGATATGTCCCAGTCCTCTGGGCCCTCTGTGAGCAGCATCAACACCAGCTGTCTGAACTAGATGTGCACTGGTTATCATACACTGAGACACCAGGCAGAGAAATTAAACAGAATTGCATGTTAGTGTTGTCCTGACAAGAAAACTGAGGTGAAATCCAAAGGGGAAATAAAGGTACTTTGTCAGCTGCTAAATAGAAAGAGCAGAGAAGCTAAAAATAAAGGAAAAATCATCTTCTAGTATCACAAAGTGAATACTGTCCTCCAGATTTAGGCCAAAAATCTGAGTTTATTGAGAAAAAAAACCCAGAAAAACCAAAAACATAACAAGAATTAAAAATAAGTGGAAAATACTGGGAAGGAGGAACTAAAAGAGGTTTTATAGGCAGAATATAGCATGAGTAAGCATTTCATATTAAATTTTTCTTGTCAGTAAATACATACGTTCTCTCTTTTTCAATTCCTGTATTTCCCTGGATTATTAAGATATCTCTGTCAGTGCTAAGAAAACAAAATGCAACCAAACATAAAAGGAAGATTAAGTAGTCTAGTTTTATTATCCAAGTGCAGTGAAGTATTGAAAATACAGAAAAGGGAAAAGAATGCCAAGGACCTGTTTCCTGCAAATAGTTTAAGTGCAGCCTTTTATGCTATTGAAGAAGCCTTGTTAATATTAATGGGACATTAACTCATGGAAAGTCAAGGTTCTTTTTCAGGATTGTCAGCTACTTCTTAAAGTTTTAACAATTTGAGACTTTTTACCAATTTGAGAATCTTATGTTTTCAGTGAGACTGAAGTGTGTATTATAAACAGACATCTCTATATTGAATTTCTTCTTTAATATTTGACATTTTCAAAGACAGGGATCCCAGATGGGTCTTGAAAAGGCATTTTTAATAAAGTCTAGATTGTTTAGTAACATCTGAATGAAATGCCAAGCAATTTGATGGGTGAAAATTATGTAGTGAACCTGATAAAATGGTTACTTTCTTTTTCCCCTGTCATTAGTGCTAGAAGAAAAAAACTGCTCAGATCCTGGTGGCCCACTCAATGGCTACAGAAGAGTAGTAGAAGACACTGGGCTCTTGAATGGACGCTATGCAAAAATTGGCACAGTCATTGCTTTCTTTTGTAACAACTCATATGTTCTTAGTGGCAATGAACAAAGGACCTGCCAAGACGATGGAGAATGGTCAGGGAAGCAACCAATCTGCATAAAAGGTTGGTTTTTACAAACTTTTTTACCACTACTCACACAGGCTGCTGTGGTTTTACTGGATTGTGTTTAATATCATTTGCACTCAACAAATGATCATATTTGCTAAGAGTAAGCTGTCTGGCTGATACCTGATACTGAGTTTTGTAGTTTGCCAGCTCTGCTGGCTGCTATACTTGAAGAAGATGCCAATGATTCCAGAAGATTCCATCTTTAAACAGGGAAAGGGATGTTCCCTAAGACCTTTATTATCCTCATTCTAGGACTGAACCTGCGTAAGATCAAAATCAAAGAAGATCAAGAGGGAATTGAAATAGAATGAGATAATTGTCTCATGAGACCGTTAACAATCAGTTGCTGTCACAGGGAATAACTGTCCTTTCACAATCCTTTTAAAACAATGGGACCAGTCATGAATGCAAAAGGCAGAGCCTATACAATATGATTAAATGATATGTATTCATCAAAACACTGCATCACACCTTTAAATCCTATGCTCTTAACCTGGAGCTATTCTACTAAGTGTGTATGAAACCCTGAGTGAGTGAGTGAGTGAGTGAGTGAATGAATTTGGGCTGGGGAACTGCTAAATTCATTTTATGAACACAATTTCTTGACATACGGATTTTTTAAAAACTGAAATTATGACAATATAAGGAAATATGTCTGTCCCCTGGGCAATTTGCTTTATTCTGTTGTTTTAGATGAAAATAATCTCTCTCTGAAACATGTAGTCATCTGTGGAAAGCATCTTTATTGATGCTTACTGTGATACTGACATAATGGTTAACACATATATCAATCACAAAGAACTAGATATTGTTAAATTACAGAGAGAATAACTGCTCAGGCATACAAATAAAATCCATCCTGCAAGATTCCTTTTCTTCCACTCAGGGCAGCAGGAAGGAGACCCTGGCAGAGTTAATTGAACTTGAATATTTTATCCTAATCTTAAAGTAAGTAAACTGAATATGCAAAAATAGAAATCTTAGATCTCCTTTCTGTTATTTTACACATATTTAGGTAACTCTGAAGTGTTCCTTTGGATCAGAGCCTCCAATTCCTTCCATAAGTGCACAAACAGACTCCTAGAAGTCCATAATATCCTGCAGCCTTTCTCTGTATGCCAATTAGCTGTGTGGGGCTACACAGATGGAAATGAAGTATTTTTATATATAATTCCATTACTGGAAAAGTTTGCTCTGATACAAAACTGATCATCCATAGTGGTGCAAGTGTGGCATTCAGACATGCTGAATGATGGAAAAATCTTCCTCCATGCCTGAAAGTGCCAATGCACACTAGTTCAGTAGCTTCCACTGTTGTAAATGGGATAGATCTTGTGAGCTGTGAAGTAGTATTTTTCCAAGGCTTTCGGTTTTAGGATCGTTAATGCACGTAACTTAACTGCCTCTTTTCTTAACTCAGTCCACTATCATTAGAGAGAGGAAAGGTTGGAAATGTGTATGAACCATAGCACTTGAGCTGTGAATGTGAAAAGTACTGTGCAACATTATATCTTTTCTAGCCTGCAGGGAGCCAAAGATCTCTGACCTGGTGAGACAGAAAGTGCTTCCAATGCAGGTTCAATCAAGGTGAGAATGCAATATGTCAACTACAGTTTAGAGAAAAAAATGTGATTGCTTTTCCCCTCCTCTCCTTTTCACTCCATGTGTTTAGCCTGCCTGAGCAGTGATTCCTACAAATCTACTGATAATTGAGCAATGAGATCTGCTGGTAGGGGAGCTCTGATTAAGCACAGGTTGCCAGTTGCTGGAGGCAGCCAGGAAGAAATACACAGACAGAGACAGACAAACTACAGGATGATGCTGGAATTCTGTTTGCAAGCTTAAGAACAGTCTAAGAACAGTTCCTTGGGGCTAATGATGAAAAATATGAACATGTGCCATCTTAGTGCACAGGGAGAGCACAAGGAGAGCAGAGGGTATGGCAATACAACTGCTCCCAGTAAGTTTCATCATCCAAAGCAATACAGCACAATTTATATAGGCTGGGTATGAGGGAGAGGAGGAAGTAGAGTAGGAGGGGAGGAAGGAATGAAAGATTAGATCCTTCCTAGGCTTACCCTTCTGATGATTTCTTGAAATAAACCCCATCAGAATTAGATATGCTGCAATGTTCAGGTTCATTTTCGTCCAAGTAGTAATTTCTCACTTCAGGGTTATTTTTGAAGTACATGACTAATTTAATTTTCAATTCAGTGCAAGAACTGTCCTCATCTTTGGTCCTAAGAACAGTCATATCAGGTCAGAATAAAGGTCCAGCTCAAGCCATATCCTGTCTCTGGCAACAGCCAGTAGCAGATGCCTAGAGACTCTGCCGCTCTCCAGGTCTGTGATGTATGATTGTAGAGATGGCCCTGTAAAGCTGACATAAGGCTTTAGTAGCCATTAGGGGCGTAAATTAATCAATTTAAGCCCCTAATGGCTACTTAATTTTCTTGCTTAAATTTCTCTATTAATTTTTGAATACAGGTCTTTTATGTTTCAGATATGAACATACATGCCCTCCCATCCATAAGATGCTATGAGATGATGGCATCTCATGTTTGTGGACTGTTTTTAATCCCTTGAAGTAGAATCTCCATTTCATAGGTCAATAGTGAGGTAAAGTCTAGATTATGCAATATTGCAAGTCACCTGTGAGTTTGGAATGGTACCCTGGCAGACTAAGTATGACCACAGCAGCTCTCATCCTTCTTCCAAAATACAAGTGATTTGCCATTGCTCTTGTTCTTTGTAACTTTACTTTCTTATGTATGTATCGCCTCACAGATTGGATATGATGGAGGTGTCTGTGTCTCTCTGTGATAAAAAATGAAATCATCACGAGAAAAAAAAAAAGAAAAAAAGAAAAAAAGTATTTTCTGGATGTAGGCAGTACCAGAAATCTCAAGGGAAACTAATTTCCTGCTGAATTTTTCAAGCATAAAAAGGGTGGGGTATTTTTGTAGATAGGCTCTTTTAAGCATTAAAGCAAGGGACACATTCTGAATGATAAAAATTTAAGTATAACTGTAGTCAAGCTTATGGTCCATATCTATGCTGGTGCACATATTTATTTCTTAATTATGTGCCCTGTTTCAGCTAATCAGTACAATTTCTAAGTGGAAGCTTAGCAATTATGAAATTATGAAATCTCTGTGGTGAGGCAATTATCTCTGTTAATTGCTAAATCAAGCAACTTTAGCAACATCATTTAATCTGAATCAATTCCTAATACTGTCTATTAAAATATTCACGGGAGAAAAGATGTATCTATCTCCCCTCTACTGAGAATTAATTATGACAATGCCAAATTCAGGTATAATTTCTTTATTTAAAAAATGGTATCTCAGTCCTTTTGTGAATGGAATAAACTTCCACATTCAGAGGCAATTGATTTCAATTCAGAAACTGTAAAATGAAAAAGAGACACAAATAGGATATGTATAAACATATGTGTAATTATATATATGTGCACATATATGTAAATAAAATAGCTGGGATGTAAATGGGAGTATTGCTAAACTATGCTGAAATTATGTTTTTTCCTTATTCTTTTACGAGCAAACCTCATGTGATTTTAAATGATACTTAACACAACTGGTGATAAAGTTACGGTAGTGATTGCTTTTATAATATTATAATTATTGTGTTCTTTGTGCCTTGAAATAGAGAAACACCTTTGCATCAACTTTACTCTTCTGCATTCAGCAAGCAAAAGCTTCAAATCTATCCCACCAAGAAGCCAGCACTGCCATTTGGAGAACTGCCCCCCGGGTACCAGCACTTGCACACTCAGCTCCAGTATGAGTGCGTTTCTCCTTTCTACCGCCGCCTGGGCAGCAGCAGGAGGACTTGCCTGAAGACAGGAAAATGGAGTGGGAGAGCCCCTGTGTGTATTCCAAGTGAGTCTCTAAGGGGAAAAAAAATGTGCATATCTCTTGGGTGAATGAGGGAACAGGATGTGTGCTCATGTTAGATATTTAGGGAGTCACAGCAGTGTAGGCTGCCTATACTTCCAGCTGGGAGAAAGGAGCAATAAAGCATGAAGGACATATGTGTCTTTTTATCCACCAGTAGAACTTGATGTTAAAGTGATCAGGCTTTCAGCACTGTAATTAGCCATTAATTTTTCTACTCTTTTATTGAGCAAGAGGTATAGTTAGTCTTTCTCCTGATTTGAAACAGCTTTCTACTACCACTTCATATTTTTCTGAATTATTTACTACAAATGGGTTTTTTCTTTCATTTGTATACTTTGGCACACAGCTGACAAAAACATCAAAGTTTAAGCAATAGAAGGGAAAGTCTGCAATTTTAAAGAGGCTCTTCCTTTAATAAACCCTGCTAAGGAAGGTTTCATACTGCAACCTGTAAGTCTAGATAAAATCTAATCTAGAGGTAGTGCACAAAGTAAGTTAGGGTAAGAACGTAACAAGATTTGGTAAACCCCACTACTGACATCAAGCAAACTGTGAAAAGTAGACCTTAACAACAAACAAATTTTAATTGTTCTTGTTTGTGGTTTTACTTTGATATCATATGATGTATTTTGAAAAGTATTGTGTTCACTATGGACATGCACACACTACATACCAGGAAGAAAAGACTCCTAAGGGAGACTAAAAAATGCCACAATGCAATGTAACTCTTTCAACTGAAGTTAAACCTTTCATGATATAGGGGGTTTTACCCCAGGTCCAAGCATGGATAACACATTCCTAGAACAAGGAAGAGGTTTTTCTTTTCATCAGGATGACTGTTGATTTAGATGCATTTGCTTCAACATTCTTGTCGCAAGGCAAGTGTATTCTTATAGGCATTAACTGACTTGTGCAAAGATTTGTGCCAAGAGAGGCCTCAAAAATACTCTGTGACTGCCTAGGGTGAATTTTAGTGCACTGATGGCTTTATGGCATTGTATGATAAACAAGAATCAGGGGTGTTCTTTTCATTTTTTTCTGCAGTCATCTCATTATAGTGCAACTCAATAAGGTTATTGTGAAAATTCACCTGCTCAAGTGCTAAATCCACATTCCTACTTGACCCAGGAATTCAGTGAATAGTGGAAAACTTGAATATTGTTTTAAAAAGCTATATCGAATACTCCTTTAATTTTGCAGGTTAGAGACAGAGGCTAATTAGACTACTGTCCTTCATATTCATCACTGCAGTTTAGTTTGTTTTGGTCCTTCTGAAAGGAATCAAGAGTAATGCTTAGATTCTTTTGGGGAGAAAGTGTTACCTACTTTTTGCTTCATGTTTCCTCAGTCTGTGGAAAAGCAGAAAACATCACCCTTAAGAAGGCAGTGACCTCTATGAGGTGGCCATGGCAAGCAGCCATCTATCGCACAGCCAGCGGGGTGAAGGAGAACAGCCTTCGGAAAGGGGCCTGGATCCTGATCTGCAGCGGGGCCCTGGTGAATGAGCGCACCGTGGTGGTGGCAGCCCACTGTGTCACTGACCTGGGCAAGACCATCGTGCTCAAGACAGCAGAGCTCAAGGTGGTTCTGGGTAAATTCTACAGAGACGATGACAGGGATGAAAAAACAATCCAGAACCTGAGGGTGAGTAAGCCTGACAGGAGTGACAAATGATGAGCACAGGTAGATGCTGATCACATCTGTCTTGTATGGGGAGAAAAAGGTGACCCTTTGGGCAAGGCACTCTCTTGCATGTTGTTCTTTGAAATGCATTTGTAGAGACTCAAGTGGAATGGCATAAGAAGGCATATGAACTACATGCTGTAGTTCATTGAATTCCTCGAAGCCATCCAACTCATACATTCACCCTTAGTTAAGAAAATAGCTCAGGTTCTATGGGCCATAATGTCTTGAGTGATATTGCCAGTAAAAAAGTAAAAGAGATGCCAGCTACTGTCAAAATTGATTAGCACAATTTATGAGGGAAACACTTGTGCTCTAAATCCTGGTTTGATGCCATGAGCACATTTCACTTCTCAGCCCCAAGGCCGTACAGCTCTAAACTGAAAGAAGTTTATGTCTGACTCCAGTTCCAAAAATAGCACCTTGGGCTCACCAGAGTGATTTGCTTTTTTCAAGCAGAACTAGAAAGGCTGAGGTCAAAATGAGAAAACAGCAATTTTGGGTACGTGTGTCTCTTTTTGGGGGGAAGTGTGGGGTGTGTGTCTGAGTTAGTTAATGGAATTTATCCAAAATAATTAACTTGATTCTTTCCCTCTGACCCCTTTTTAGTTTCGTTCTCTAATCCCATCTTTTTAATTCTTTTCCTGTAAGAAAATACATTGTATTTTTTACAGTATTTTCTTATAGGAATCCTATCTGTTCTTACAGCATTTCATTCAGGACATGAGCAGTAACTGTTTGGCTCCAATATTACGTAATGTATTGCATGTTTCTCATTTGAGTGAAAGAACACCATAGTGCATGCAAGAAGATACACTAAAATGTATTTTAGTAGTATGGAAAGAGTGCAGCTGACCTGCCATTGCTGTTAACCCTACACTTCCTACTCTGTTTCCTCTCCAGATTTCTGCCATCATAGTGCATCCCAATTATGACCCTATATTACTTGATTCTGATATAGCTGTCATAAAACTCTTGGACAAAGCCAGGATCAGCAGTCGTGTTCAACCCATTTGCTTGTCATCTTCTCATGACTTGACTTCATCCACAGAGGATTTAAAGATAATGGTTACTGGCTGGAAGGTATTGGCTGACATTAAAGATCACGGATACAAGAATGACACAATCCGCATGGGAGTTGTTCAGATGGTGGATTCACTGTTGTGTGAACAACAGTATGAGGATAATGGGATACAAGTCAGCATCACTGACAGCATGTTCTGTGCCAAACAAGACCACACAGCCTTTTCTAATATTTGCCCTGCTGAAACTGGTGGGATTGCTGCCATAACTTTGCCAGGAAAAGCATCTCCTGAGCTAAGGTGGCACCTAATGGGATTAGTGAGCTGGGGTTATGATAAAACTTGCAGCCTAGAACTCTACAGTGGCTACACCAAAGCTCTTCCCTTCAAAGACTGGATTGAGAAGAACATGAAATAAAAATCTGAGTCTGGAAATGGCATTTTATAGTATAATATCTCTCTCAGTCTCTGCTACTTTAGGCTTCTCATCCCAGTGATGAGATACATCTGGGATAAGGTTAAGGCAGGCAGCCTGATAATTTGTCCTAGGATCAGATATTTCATCGGGCTACTTTTGCTTAACCCATGACAGAGGGTCTTAGTGCATGAGAAGTTTTGCCATATTTTGTTTGTCTCCCCTGGTGGGAGGATGGTGCTCTGCTCCTGAGTCTGACATGCAGAAACAGGACAGTAAATTCTGTCTGAAATTAATCTGTAGCGTGGAGCTCCCTGGAGAAATTGATGGTGAGCCTCTCCCAAAGATCTGTGTGACTGAGTGGATTAAGAGTCTGGGAAGAGTAGCCTGAATTCATTATGACGGATGAGCTTGTTGTGGTATGTGCTGTCTGTATTGCCATAGTACAATGTAATCTTCTTCCCTCCCAAGTACTTTACACATTTAAATAAACCATGGTTTGTTTTTTTAACCTACATACTCATGTCTGACATTATTTAGATCCATTTTTGCTTTATCTGTGTCACACTCTTGGAACTCTCTACTGCCCTTGTCTCTTTGCACGTCACTCCTACTTGGGACTCTTCAGGAACACTAAAAGGCAGAATCAGCACAAAACTCAAGGACTATTTATATATATAAATAACAAGATTCTTTTTTCTTAATACACCCATTCCTACTATTGTACATGAACCACTACAGTGAAATGTACCGAGGAGTTCTCTTTCACCTTGTATTCGAAACAGATGAAAACACGAAACATATTTTAAATACATTTTCCCCAAGTGGGTTATTTCATAGAACTATGAAAACCCTAGAAAAACTTTTGGTTCCCATTAGTTCCCATACATTTGTGGTAAAACTACTCCTCTGTAGCTCTTCAGGGTGAAGAACAATGACCAGGTCTCACACTGGGCAAGCACTTTTCTTGAACTGAGGCTGAATTGTTTGACATCAGAGGGTAAGATTCTCCTACTGAGCATGTTGTCCAGGGAGACACCTGGGTGTCCTCATGGTCCTTAGTCACTGCTCTTCCACTAAATCATTCTCTATTCTCTATTCAGTCATGGCTAAAGACTAGGGATCAACCCTACAAAAGTTGGGGAAAAGAGACAGTAATGACTGTTTTCCATCAATAATGATTTCTTGGTAATATATATAGGACACTCTGGAGTTTTTAGGACCTTCACATTATTACAGTGCCCAAAACAGCTTACAGCCATAGTTGGATCTGAAGGCTGGGAAACTGATGAAAAGATTTAGTGCTCTTACCAAGAAGGACTCAGATCCTGAAGTTGTGTTCTGCCTGTCGCATGGCTATGGCAACTTGAAGTTAGCAAGCCTGATTTCAGTTCTGATTCTCTAATGCTGTAAAATCTTATTACAAGTTTCTCAGCATTCAGTAGTTTCTACCCACTTTTGAATCTGAAAACTGCTGCTAAAAGGACAATTAGTTTTGGACATCATTCCATGTAATTTTTTTTTATTTTCTTGGCAGAAATATTTGTTGTGTATGCTTTTGCACTTTCCTTGTTTTCACTGGCAATGGGAGCATATGATGTTGCTTAAATCAAAAAGTTTAAGGGCTACAATTAAAATATATTGCTTCTCTTTATCTTCTTTGTCTGTCTTCTCCTGCCAGGAGATTATGCTTGGCTGACAAAGTGCATGGCAACAGCAACAAAAAAAAAATCCTGAATTAAATGTGAAAAACATGATGTGTTTCATTCCTCTGCCGGGAGGAACACATGCCAATGAATGTGTGGTACTCCCCTGCTGACAGAATGGGTTAGAGTAAATTAGGTGTCAGTTTTGGAGAAGCACAAACTTGCAGAAAGTCAACATGTGTTTCTTCCTAACAGCCATTACAAAGAATGAAATGAGAAACCTCTTTCATGATTACATTAAACGAAAGTTTCTACACTCTAAATAATTATTGTATTATTTAATGGCAAACAGAAATTATAAAGACCTGTGAACTGGTTTTCTTCTCAGTTAGGACACCACGACTGCATTTCTTTCCATAGTATTATTGCTCTCCACTGCTACAACTGAGATGAGGTTCTAAATGCTTTTTTCTCTTATTAGGTTTTGTCCAGTCCAAACAGATCTGCAAAAGTCTGGTTTCATTCCAGCCTTAGACCTCACTCTTCTCCTTTTTCTAAAGATCAACCATATTTGAATATTTACTGATCCTCTAACTGCTCCTCAGTGTTGAATCCCATCCCCATTTGGCTTCAAATCAGCTGAAAGTTTCTGGGCTTGGACAGCAACAATATAGCTGTTCACTAGCTGTATATCACACAAAAGTACATTCTTGAAGAGAAACTTGTAGGAATTCATGGAATTAAAATCTCAGGAGGTTGCTATAGCTGTGCATGCACAACACTATTCAAACCCTTCTCTTCACAGCCATGATGCTCTTCAAAGAAAGCAGAAGCAAGAAAATAGCCAGACACCTCTCAACCCCAGATTCAGATTTTAGCACAGCCCTTTACAGGAGGAGGATGAGGTTGCAGCATTTGCTTCTATTTCTGGACTTAAAGTAATTTTTGGATCCTAGATTCAAATCTGGCTGTCTTTAAATGCCCACATAATGTTTTATTTCTCTGGTTGTATGACATAGGTATTCACATGTATGAGTGAGCAGTCACATCAACATATCCAAGCACCTGTACCATGTCGAGTATTCCCAGGAATTACAAACCAGCTTGTCCATCCTTTCTGTCAGGCTTACCCATAGTAGTTTCCTGTTTACAGACTGAGCAGAACTATGCAGGTGTTAGCATCTAATGCCAATAATGAGGAAAAATAGGGATAAATGTTTGAAAAAAGGCAACATGTGACCTGGAATTGCTAATATCTTTGATAGCTTGACTCTATTTTTAAGATGTAGAACTATTTCAAACATCTCTTTCTAAACAGGTGAGGATCTGTGCCATCTGTCGGAGAAAGGGTGTGAAATAGCACAACATGGATAGCAGCTCATTTTCCCTCCAAGGAAAAAGAGCTATGCATTCTGGAAAGGCCATAAGGATATTGCTATGGGAAGAGAGCAAAACACTCTCTGCATTCTATTCCCTGCAACGAGTGTATGTTTTTCCTTTGTATGTTTCAGGCCTGCATTAAATTATTTCCAAAAGTCAGGGTGCTTAGCTGAAAAATAGCACTGAAAGGAAATGGACATACTGAAACACAAGCTCTTTTCAGGCACCCTCAGTTACTCTCAGAGAATTGCCCTTGTAAAAGATTTCTGTTGAAAGCCTACGTCCATGGTAAGATTACAAGAAAAAAATGTGTATTTGATTAGGACTGGGGATTGCGTGATAGGTTGCATCCTGCCATTTTTTAAGGGCAAGTAACTGGAATTGGCTTAGTTGCAGGAAAAGCATCCTGGGGGAGTGGGAGTGGTGCGGAGGGTCAGGCAGGCTTTGCTCAGCTCTGCAATCCCTGCAGCCTCCCAGCTCCTTACGGTGTCAGGGGGCTTCCGCATGGCTGCTGGCTTTCCGTGCCACCTCCTCAGTGCGGAGGGAACGAGCTGTGGCAGAAATGTTTGTTCCCTGTCAAACGGGACATCAGCTTGGTCAGACTTGGATGGAGAGACAGCACTGAGGTTGGCGGGCAGAGCCCCAGCTGAGGGAAACGGGAGCGAAGGTGTGTGGCGGTGTCTGAGCGAGCGTTCTGTGCCCCAGCACCTGAGTGTGGGTACAGAACCGGACAGAAATTTCCTGCCCTACGCTGCAAAAATGCCCTGGGCGACCCCCGGCTCCGGGTCCCCGGGCCTCGGCCACGCGCGACGCCCCCGCGGTGGCGGGGCGGGGCGGCAGCGGGCGGCGCAGGTAGGGGCGCGGGGCGGGCCCGGACAAGGCGTGGGGAGAGGCTGCAGGCACAAGCAGGACGGCGACCGCTCCCCCGGGCCGCGGCGGTGCGGGGCCGGCACCTCCCGGCAGGGGGCAGCACGGCCCCGCGCCGCACCCTGCGCGTCCCTGCGGGCGCGGGCCCCGCTCCCGCGGCCCCTCGGTCCCGCCAGCGAGCCCCGGCCGTCCCGGTGGGACAGCACGGCTCGGACAGGGGCCGGCCGGGCCGGGCCTCCCGGGAGGCTGCTGCCGCCTCGGCGCGGCGGGGCAGGTGCCGCGGCTGCGGGGGCGCAGCCCCTCGGCCGGGCTGTGGGACCCCGCTGCGGCCGAGCGCCGGCCCGCTCGCCGGGACACGTACGGGTGTGCGGCGGCAGCCGGACACCCCAGCGGGGCCGCGTGAGAAAAAATGTGTCTGTGCGATCGCGCCTTCCCGCGGCTCCCGGCCGGCTCCCGGAGTGCCGAGCTTGCCCCGGGAGGCGGTGGCGGCCGCGGCGAACGGGGCAGGTCGCGGTCGGCGGCGCCCGGCCCTCCCCCTGCGAGGGGCTCGCCGCCCCCGCTGCTGCCAAGGAGCTGTTGGGGGGGATTTATAGGAGTAACAACGGCTCGTGATGTCAGCCCGTGCCTAAAATAGAGAGGGATTGACTGCAAATCCACGGCTCGAGGGCTAAACCTTCCAATCCAGCCTCAGCCAGCGCCGCGCCGATGTGAAGTCGCCCCCCAGCTCTCGCACACAGCCGCGCAGACACGCACACGCTCCCCGCGGCGAGGGGAGGGCGCCGGGGATCGCAGCCCAGGTGCCAGCGCCTCCTCGCCCCGCCGGCCACTGCTGGGCGGCCGCGGCGCAGCAGCGCCGGTCCCTGGGGCACCGAGAGCCTGCTCCGGGACGGCGGGGTGGGGGAGAGCCGAGGAGCGGAGCTGCCGGATCCTCGCCCTGCGGAGCCCCCAGGATTACAAGGAATTGCGTGCTCCTTCCCAGACGTGAGCGAGGGTTATACCAAAGAACCAACCTCCTTCGCGCCCTGCTGTCCAAATTAATCCCTTGGACCTTTGAGAAGACAGGGTTTTTTTCGGAACCATGGCATCGACAGAAGGGTGAGGGGGACATCT